TTTTCTTTTTACGTTGTCCCTATATATCCCCGATATATCCCCTATATAACCTCTATATAACCCCTATCCCCCCCCCCCCCCCCTATATAACCCGGAAGACGTGACACTTCCCACATTGTGACCGCCACGCTTCACAGGTTGATGATGCTCCCGTGCCCTACAAGAATGCCTCCACCATTGACTTCAACGACGGGATCCATACTTGCCACAAGCGGAGGCGCAATTCTGCGCCCAATACCAAGGTATATTGGGGGTATACTGGGAGAATGGAAAATACGATGGAAACTACTCTTTAGAGTTTAGGGCCATTTTGTGGGTCCTAATGGATCCTAGCAAATGTCCATACCACAAGGTTCAAAAGCAAGTATACATTGGAGTGTCTAGGGCCTGCTAGGGTCGAGGAGTCAAAGTCTATGAGAACTTAGTGCCGTCCAGCCAAGCAACAAGCATGCAAGCAGACTTGCACTGGGAAATTTTAAGCGACCTCACCTGACCTCACCCTAAATGCTGGATAATTTAGGGAGCAGTACCAAAATTGCCTTAAATTGGGAATTCAAATTATTCCAAATTACCCGGAATAGTACCAAAATTGCCTTAATTTGGGAATTCAAATTATTCTGAATTACCCTGCCTGCAGGGCAGGCTATGCCCAATGCTGACACCAAGGCCATCAGCCCTCTCCACGGATGCTATGTAATCTAGTGTAGGGTTTGGGGTTTAGGGGTTTAGGGTTTAGGGGATTAGGGCTTAGGATAATCTAATTGTGTCTAGCAGGGTCTCATATGGGCTAATATGGGCTAATCGGGACGAATAGAGACTGTTAAGTGCTCATAGACACTATAAAGTTGGGCTGGCCTTTCGAGGGTACGTTCTCAAAGCACACTAGAAGTTCAGGGAAGTTGTATGCCTTGAACCCTAAACCCTACACCCTAATAAACCCGAAGGCAGGAGTCCTTACAACCTGCCCCTCATATTCAACCTCCCGCCAAAATTCGAACGCCCGCGCCCCCCCTTAGTATTAGATATTTTGGGTTGGGCCCCCACCCACTAATACGTGTATACTAGGAATATATAAGGATCTTAATATAATTACCATTACCTCTTGCGGTCACCATTAGTGGGTAGGGACCCAACCTAATAGATATTCCGCATAGAATGCATTATACCACAATAGGAATTTTTGACATTCAGAGTTGGCGGGGGGGTGTAATGTCAAGGGAAGGGGGTTACCAAGCCTCACCCACCCCAGGGTTTTAGTCTTCCGGGATTAGGATTCATTGGGTATCCACTCAAATTTTACAATCGGAATGCTATAGAGGTACTATTCGCCAGTAGGCGGTTCATTGTTATCCTTAAGCTCCAAACCCTACACCCTTCTAAAAGATGCCGTTTAACTCACCGTTCCTACATGACATTCCGCACTCATCACCTTTGCTCATAGAGATGGGTTAGGGTTTAGGGTTTAGGGTTTAGGGTTTAGGGTTTAGGGTGGCTTCCAGGTGATCTTTGGGTTGGTTCTTCTCAGTCTTCTGGGTTGCTTTTAAGGAATTCAAAGTACGTTACTATAATACTCGGAGGGGGGGGGGACTTAGTAGGTAGGTTAATGATGGGGTAATTAGGGTTACTACACGGGTTATAGGGGTTATTAACCCACTTACTAAGCCCCCCTGACCCCCGAAGTAAGGAAACCCTTTTATTTGCTACATACACATAGTATGCAGGAATTCTTGCACGATCTAGGCCTCCTGCGCACCTAAGGGAATTCTCAGCATTCAAATAGTTCAAGGTGGGGCAGGACTTCCTCTATAAATTGCATGGAGCCTGAAAAGGAGCCTTTTACAGACTCCTGTAGCTGCAAGGATGATATGGGCCATAATCAAAATTCAGATTTTTTATTTTTTAGGAGGACTACTATAGGTTAGAGGGGATACTCATTTGACGAAGATCGGCTCCCTGTGAAGTACATGGACCCTTTGTGCAGGCGGATGGAGACTGGAATAGGCCCTAAACCCTAAACCCTAAACCCCTAAACCCCTAAACCCTAAACCCCTAAACCCTAAACCCTAAATCAGGTAGCCTGCTTCGAGGTGTAGCCCGAACCTTCTTGTATTTTACTGGGCAATTTAACGCGACCTCACCCGCCCTCACCCTAAATGGTGGTTTCTACAGGAATAGTACCAAAAATGGCCTCACATGGGAAATTGAAGTTATTCTAAATTACCCTGATTTAATCTATATAAGCCCGTATAATCCCTCTAGAAACCCTATACCCTGATTTAATCTATATAAGCTCCTAGAATCCCTCTAGAAACCTTATATAACCCCTACAAGGCCCCGCCAACCCCTACACCCTAAACCCACTTCTACCTTGCTTCGAGCCTTGAGCACCCTAAACCCTAAACTC